AATGTAAAACTACATTGCATATTTGACTGTATAAATTAAAGATTAATCCTTATTAAAGTTACAAAAGTTATTCAATCAAGAGCAGTGAGTGAATTTCCGTGTTGTTGCTGTTTGATTAACATTAAGAAAGTGCTGTCACTTTAAGAGAATGCACTGATCCAGTGCACTGATACTGAATGTTCAGCCGACTATGTCTGCTAGGATACTCACCAAGACGGGCTTTTTGACATCATTTTTGTGTGAATTTGTCCATTCAAGCACAATACTTCAAAGAGCTTAATATATTTGCACGCGTTCTGAGACGCGGGTTCACGCTCTTCGGATGAGCGACCACACAGATCTTCTCACTGCGCGAGCGAGTTTGCATCCTCTGGCTCTTTAATATTTAAAATGGCAAAGCTTAATCTTTTTGGAAATTAAACAAAAACTTCTCAGTTAACATCATGTTCTCTTCAATTAGACGTGTCAAATCTCTCTGAAATCACAATATTATTTATATTTTATATTTATTATTTATAATATTATGTATATATATATATATATATATATATATATATATATATTAATTATAATATAATAATATATGTGTAATATATGTAATATATGTGTGTGTACTGTGCATATTTATAAGTATATATAAATACACACCCACATACATGTATATATTTAAGAAATATACATTTATATTTATGTATAATGTACAACATAAATATGAATATATATGCACACTCACACGTAAATATTTCTTAAATATATAAATGTATGTTTTGGATGCAATTAATCGTTATATATATATATAAAATGTCTTCACTGAGTGGTTACAAGTTCTTTTTTCCTCATCGTTTAAAGCTTCTGTTAATCAGACACAAAAGAGCTTGTTACCTGTTCATTCATGCTTTCATCATGTCATGACTAATGATGCTGGTACCTAAACCCAGCCTAAAGGGCTCCACTCAGACAGAGAGCGTGTGCTGTAAAAGCTCCACAGCTCTGTCCCACTGCATCAAGCTCAAATCAACACCCTCCTTTCCCTGGTGCCATATAAAAATCAAGTCATCTGGAACACGAGGGCCCTTTCCCTGCTAGTGCCATCTTTTGAAAGGTCAACTTAGTGAGATTGAGTGTGTAAAAGAAGCCAGTATTAGAAACTTGTGCTCTTTCTGTTTGTACTCTTTGCCTTAACAGTTTCTAATTAAGAACGAACAAGGCACCGGCCACCTGAGGTGAAACTACCACGGGGCCGATACGTCATTATATTGTTTTTCCTGAGCTTGACGTCACAGGAGTTTAGCCCCTCAGGAACAGAGAACGTTTCATTTTTTTTGGACCGTTTTGAATACACAAAGACACAGAACACACCAGGGATGCTAATATGCTATATCTTTAGAAGTGAGCAACATCAAAGACCAGCCAAATCCTGAATGCCCTGGAAACTGCCCACAGGTAGAAAGCTGCGGGCAACTGCTAACAATGATCAAACCAGAGGTTCAGAACCACCCCAAAGACTTAAATGCAATGACAAATATGACAGTGATCTCTCTGTTATAGCACCAGGTTATAAAGCATCAAACGGCTCATGAGGAGAACAATAATTTGCGGATGAGTTGTTGGTTCTAATCTGGGTTTTTCTGTGAGCTAATGCACACTTAACCTTTCAATCCAATATCAACAGTGGGGCGACTCTCCAGACTAACACCTGATGATGGTGATGTTGCACTTGGTGTTATTTGTTAAAGTAGGATAAAGTAGTCAGTGGGGAGATGGCATTTAACCTGACGCCACAGACTCAGTAGAATAGCATTAGTGATTGTATGTCTTACCCAGTGACACTTGTATAAAGTGTAGGTAAAGTTATGTTGAATTAATGCAAATTTGCTGTGTATTTTATAAATGTATTACATATGTAATAAATAAAGTACATAAGACTAACATTTAATTTTCTGTCCTTAAGGATGATGTATGTAATTTTCTGTTTTGAATTGAAAAACTTTTTGTTTGTTTTTTGCAGTTAAATTTGGTGCTACTACTGGCACAGTAATTACACACTTTACCTTTTAACTGAGCTGAAAAAAAACATCACATTAAAAACTATTTGTTTTGATCAGCTATTAAGTAAAATTTAGAGGACAAATCTTTTTTTTAATTTCAGGTTTTATATCAAAATAAAAGAAAAAAACAGAAAAAGGGAAAGAAAACAGAAAAGAAACAAACAAAAGAAAATAAAAGAAAAAGAAAAAAAGTGAAAAGAAAAAAAAGAAGTAAAAAAAAAGAAACAAAATCAGAAATGAAGATAAAAATAAGGATAAAAGAATAAAAAAAGAAAAGAAAGGAAAAGAAAAGAAAGGAGGAAACAAAAGAAAGAAAAAGGAATGGAGAAAAGAAAAGGAAAGGAAAAAAATGTGCAAAAAGAAAAAGGAAAAGAAAGAGAAGTAAACAAAGAAAAAGAAAGAAGTAAAAAAGAAAGAATCAAAAAGAAAGTAAAAACTAAAAACAAAAAAGAACAAAAGAAAAACAAAATGGAAAAAAGAAACAAAGAAAGGAAAATAAAAAAGTATAGAATAAGAATAAAAAAGAAAAAAGAAAGTAAAAGAGAAAAGAAAAGAAAGAAGTAAACAAGAAAAATAAAGAATAAAAATGTGCAAAAACAAAAAGATAAAGAAAAAAGTAAAGAAAAAGTAAAGAAAGAAAGAAGTAAAAGAAAGAATCAAAAAGAAAGTAAAAACTAAAAAAAGCAAAAAAAAAGGGAAAAGAGAAAAGGAACAAAATGAGAAGAAAAGAAATTAAATAAAAACAACAGAAAAGTAAAAGTAATTAAAGTAATATAAAAAAAGAAAGAAAAAAGACATACTGATCTTTATATAATGGTATTGGCATCATCCATTGAAAAATCCAGATGAGGTGAAGGTGTCTTTTCATTTAGCAGGTGCATTTGTTCTAAAGCGACATTCAGTTCACTAAAGCGAAGTGCAGTTTCCCTGGAGACACCCTCTGGGTTAAGTGCCTCAGACACAATCAGAATACCAGTTCACACATGAACTGTCCAATTCACAGGCCATTCCAACCCGAGATCAAACCCATGACCTTTCCATTACAGAGCAGAGCTTTAACCACTAAGCTACCGCCTAATGAGCGTCAAAACGCCATTCCAGCAGCAGAGCGTCGTTTAGTTCTGTTTTAAAGGGCACTACTGCGAGCAGCATCCGAACTGTGATCTGTCACTCTTGCTCCACCAACTGCCTGACCCATAGTTATTATAAACAAAGGTAGACGCCATCCATGACACGCCAAGAGTTTTAATCAGCACCAGAGGACCCGTTTAAACCAAAAACAGCCCTACTAATAACCAACAGGTACAATAATGCATCGGAGTGGGATTCTTTAAGTCGATTCGCAGAGTAGCATCACTAAAGGTGTTTTTAGTGATTGGCTTTCAGCTCGCATTTCTTCTGTTTGGCTTAATGAGCGCATTTATCATTAGCTTTCCGTCTTTTCTGACATTTAGGTGACTGACCTTTCAGTCTCATTTTAACACCGACACCTTTCCTACATAAATAATTGATGGCACCACTCAGAGACAATGCTGCGTCAACCGTTGTTCCTACAAGCCCATGAGTCACTCCTCGCAGCTCTCCGTCCCTTCATCTCTCCAATCCCGGAAATACCCTCCAATTATGGAGTGCCAATATAAGACAGAAGGCTGGTGTGAGAGTGGACTTTCAGGACAACTGATGGAGTTTCAATATATGTACTTTGGCAGCAAGGGCACTTTTACGCCTTTACGCTTGAAAATATAAGAATCTTTGGTAACTCTTTATTTAAAAGCATTTATGTATAATGCATTATAAAGGGTTATTAAAGGGTATAATGCATTATAATTATTCATAATGTGCATTGTAATACATTATATCTTGTCATAAATAATAACCAAATTTAAAATGCATAGTGTAACAATGAATTGATGTATTAACTGTGGTTACAATTATTTATGAGACTGTTCAATGCATTATAAGGTGCATTACACGACATAATTAATGCATTAAAAATACTTTTATAAAGTATTATACATAAAAGCTTTAAGTAAAGTGTTACCGAATCTCTTCATGCCAATCTGTTTATGTAACTTAAATTGCTCTTTGAGAGGACTTTTGGTAGTTTAATTGTGATTTTACATTAAGAATTATTGTTATTTTATTTCACGTTTACATTTAGTCATTTAGAAGATGCTTTTATCCAAAGAAACTTACAAATGAGGACAACAGAAGCAATCAAAACCAACAAAAGAGCAATAATATGTAAGTGCTGTGACAAGTCTCAGATAGCCTAACGCAGTACGCAAGGTTTTTTATGTAATAAATAAAAAGAAAACAAGTACAAAAAAAAGAATAGGGAACACTAGTGTTAGAAGGTCTTTTTTATGATTAATAAAAAGAAAACAAGTAGTTAGGATAGAAATAGAATACAGAGTGCAAGTGTTAGAGCATCAAGTGTTTTTTCAATAAAACAATAACAATAATTAATATAATAAAATATTGAATATTTTATCTCTTACATATTATATTTTTATTAATTAATTATTATATTGATTATTCTGTATTTAATAGTGATTTTAATTATTTTATATTATATTTGTATTTTTTTTATATCAATGCTGGAGGAAGAAAAAACAAACAAAAATGAATATAATAAAAATAATTAATATAATAATGTTGTAGTCATTCCAATAAAAGGCTAAATTAGCATTTTCATTTTAGGTTTTGTGAAAAACGCTTGCATTTAATTCAGGTTTGTGATGAAAACTGACCCTCTTGAGTTTGGTCACATTCTGTTCCACAGTCAGTCCATTGAGCGCTCCGGATATTCCCAGAAAAGCACCCAAGAAACACGGAGCAAAGCCCACCTGTGGAAATACAAAGATCTGATTAGAACACTTATCTACTGTATAGAAACCTTCTCATTTATTTTTAGATGACATATAAATGTATATGATGAATCAAGTTTAATGTTCATAATAAATATCATTATACATCTAATCCAGCCTAATTGTTAATTTATAGACTACTGCCTCACATATTCACACATCTGATGAAATATACATAGCACATGTTGAAAGCTATCAAGGACGCAATGAGAGATTGATGCATCCATTTATTATTAGCACACTAGATCACTGGAATTCCAGTGTGTGGTTTTCCACAGGACATCCCATAAAGATTTATTGCAGAAACCAATCAAAAATGTGTCAAGCAAGACTAAAAACAGCCCCTTTGATTCTCCTTTGACTTTTGGGTACAACGTACACAATGTTTTATGCTTTATAAGTTGAAATAGTGATTTTATTAAGTTTAATTTGCAAGTGACAGAAAAGCATTTTTTTTTTAGTGTCTTTGATACAGCGTAATTATACATTTGTAAACTGAGTAATATTAATTAACTACATGTATTTACTCTACTGTTAGGGTTAGGATGATGGTGTGATTTAGGGTTAGCTGTATGTAACTATGCATAATTTATTGTTATTACTATTGTAAGTACATGTAGTATTACCACATTTTGTTGTGGAAAAATACCTTGGGAATGCATGTAAAGTTGTTATAAGGAGTGAAATAAAGCTGTGAACATGCCAGCAGTACCTGCCACTTGATTGTGGGAATCTTTTTTGTAAAATTCAATGAATCAATCATGCTTAATAGCTAATTGAAATATTCACTTACTCAATAACAACTGAGGACCTCTTTAAGGTTTAAACAGCTGTTGTAAGCCTCTCAATAAAACAAAATTAAATACCTACAGACGAAAGCAACCACACACACAACTTGTCGCTGGCCGTACTGGCTTTTTGAAATTTAGAAAGTGGGTCTCTAAAAATAGCCCTAGAATCTCTTTACTGAATAAATGTGGGAGAGCAGGCTGGCGTTGGAAGCTCTGTTGTTTGGGTGTAATCCGGTGATGGGAGAGGGGCCTGTCTTGCGTGCCTTTGTCCGCTTCATCCTGTACATTCATTCCACCAATCATGTAAACAATGACTTATGCAAACACTCATTTGTTTGACTGCCTATCAGAGGATGGATTACTTGACATGCATGAAGGGAGAGCTTGGATGGGATACCCAAAAGGGATAAAGCACGTAGCAACAGCAATAAACAGAAGCTCCTAAAGCACTTTACATGTGTCTGCATACTCAACAAAGACACGACAGTCAGCTCTAGAGACAACCTTCCATGTGTGTATTTATAACTAAAGCATATGTTTTAAAACATATAGAATATTGAGGTCTGACTTTATTTTTGGTGTTTCGTATTAATTTTATTAATACTGTTGTGGAGAGATGATGTGATGGGGATGGGAGAAGAGGGAGAACAGTATGGGAAAATGACACACAAAAAAATATAGCTAAAAAAATTTTAACTATATTTTTGATGAAATCCGAGAGCTTTCTGACCCTGCATAGACAGCATCAGAACTACCACATTCAAGGCCCAGAAAGGTAGTAAGGACATCATTAAAATAGTACTTGTGGCTTCAGAGGTTCAACCGTAATTTTATGAAGCTACAAGAATACTTTTTGTGTGCAAAGAAAACAAAAAGAACAACTTTATTCAACAATTTCTTCTCTTCCGGTCAGTCACCACTACCATTGATGAGAGTACCACAACGCATATATAATACAATGTACTTCTCACACACACACAAAAACAATTACTGCAATACAACGCACATATGCTCACCTGATCAACAAGCATTTTCTTCAGAGCTGCACCACCAGTACCACCAGTAACAAGTTTGTCCAGCACCTTGTACCATCCACCGACCACTGGACCCTTCAAAACACAGAAAACTTCACTAAACTCATCTCACGTATGTGTAGCACTTCAAACACTTCAGTAAACAATCATGAACACGAGCCCAGCATCTTGAGGCCGTGCCAGTGGTTTCATTTGTTCATGACAGAATTATGAAAACAGCGGGCTGTAATTAGCTCCAATTCCCTGTGAATTAATGAGCTTTCTTTTTGTTTCCCAGTGTGGTTTTAATCTGGGCCTGATTAGCAAACTGATCAATAAATGTGTCAAACAGTGTCTCCCGCGGGTGTTGCATATTCTTCAACCCTGCATAGACAGCATCAGAACTACCACATTCAAGGCCCAGAAAGGTAGTAAGGACATCATTAAAATAGTACTTGTGGCTTCAGAGGTTCAACCGTAATTTTATGAAGCTACAAGAATACTTTTTGTGTGCAAAGAAAACAAAAAGAACAACTTTATTCAACAATTTCTTCTCTTCCGGTCAGTCACCACTACCATTGATGAGAGTACCACAACGCATATATAATACAATAATACAATACGCTTTTAATGAAGCAACTCAATGTTCCTTCGTTACTAGTTCTAAAGTGATGTTTTCGAATTAGTAACGAATTAGAAGCTTGGGCTCAGCTATTAAACTGTCAACTTTAGATTTGAATCTGTGGTGGAAAGGAGGAGTTCTACACAAAATGGGGCTTTTAAAGACACTCAGTTGTTGTTTCTTATGTATTTACACACTCGTGCTGTCAAACGGTTGTATAAATACAATATCACACTCATATAGATGTGAGATATGGCTGTATATCGGCACGCTGTGATTACCTACAGCCGATATACAGCCATATCTCACGTCTACTCATGTGATATTGCTCATATCTATTGGATTCTTTTGGGGATTGTGTATATATAAAAAAATAATAAATTTGAAAGTGACGTTTTGTCTTACAATACACAAATATGTACTAATTATGAAAAAAAAAATGACATACCACGTACTTCTCACACACACACAAAAACAATTACTGCAATACAACGCACATATGCTCACCTGATCAACAAGCATTTTCTTCAGAGCTGCACCACCAGTACCACCAGTAACAAGTTTGTCCAGCACCTTGTACCATCCACCGACCACTGGACCCTTCAAAACACAGAAAACTTCACTAAACTCATCTCACGTATGTGTAGCACTTCAAACACTTCAGTAAACAATCATGAACACGAGCCCAGCATCTTGAGGCCGTGCCAGTGGTTTCATTTGTTCATGACAGAATTATGAAAACAGCGGGCTGTAATTAGCTCCAATTCCCTGTGAATTAATGAGCTTTCTTTTTGTTTCCCAGTGTGGTTTTAATCTGGGCCTGATTAGCAAACTGATCAATAAATGTGTCAAACAGTGTCTCCCGCGGGTGTTGAAAACAGCGGGCTGTAATTAGCTCCAATTCCCTGTGAATTAATGAGCTTTCTTTTTGTTTCCCAGTGTGGTTTTAATCTGGGCCTGATTAGCAAACTGATCAATAAATGTGTCAAACAGTGTCTCCCGCGGGTGTTGCATATTCTTCAGTAAATCTCTCTTTTAATGCAATTATAATTTGCGGTTTAGCAGCATCAATGTAAAATCACCCACCAATGGCAAATTATGCATATGGGCGTCTTTAACAAACAGCTGTGCGCTTGTTTGAGAAGACACTTGTCATTTTTCTATGTACAGTGAATATATAGCAGCTCTATATTGTCTTTCTGCATTCTTTCCTGTCCTATTAGCAAAACAAAGGATGCCATGACACATTAAATGATTAATACGGAGCTTCTGCTTAATTCGGTTGACTAGGCAATAAGAACTCAGTTTATAACCCTACACCGCCAATATAAAATAGGCACGTCAGAAATGCAACATAATTTTATAGCTCAATAGACAGAAAATCTTTCAGGAGATGCAGGACAAATTTCACCTGAAGTTCTGACCTGTGGTTCAGTCTTTTGTTCTAACAGCAGTGAAATTTTACTGCACTAATAATAACGACTAAGGTCTGATGTTGAACCGAGTGTGTTCAGGCTTGTAAAAGCTTTGAATCATACAGGCCATTTGCAGATTAGACCTCAAGTCATTTGGACAGAACTAGTGCATTAGTGCTTTGTGTGTGTGTGTTTGTGTGTGTGTGTGTGTGTGTGTGTGAGGGAGGAAGGGAAGAGCAGGGTGCTCAATATATCAATCACTGTGTGCATGTCAATCACTGTGCAACTTCATTACCTGTTCCAACAAATGACACTCTACACACATGATCTGTGATGGTCATAACACAACAGACCTTTAAACATTTGAATTCTCTCTGACATTTTGCAACATTTTTTTTTCAATTTTGCCTTTTTGAAGTTTTATTTTATTTATTTAGAAGTATTATTATCCAATTATCCAATTATCAAAAACATAAAAAATCTTAAAAACCTCAAACATTTGAACAATAGTGTATGTCAGATAACTGCGACAGAGAGGCATGTAATAAGACCATTCTAAGACCATTGAAAGAGTATAAAAATAAAAAAAACATAAGCATCACAATTTTATAACAAATAAGGTGATTTTTGGTCTGTCAGAATATTTAAAAAATCTTAATTTTACTTTCAAAGAATGACACCAACGGAGACCTTCAGAGTTTTAACTCTCTTGGTCCTATATTTAAATGACATCAGTACGATGTAACAATGCTGGAGGATCTCAAGAGAAACTCATATGCAAATGGAACAGTATCACAGGAGACTTACGACAAAGAAGAAGCCAATGCTCATCATCTTGGCAGTGCGTCTCACGCTGTGATTGGCCAGTCCACGGCGCTCAATCAGCTGCTGGGAGATGACATCACCCACACCCACCAGAGAGCCTGGAAGAGAGGGAGTAAAAATGAGAGAGAGAGAGAGAGAGAGAGAGAGAGAGAGAGGGTGCCAGTCGGGCATCTGTTTGCCCCCACTGCCCAGCGTGAAGACCCACACACAGGTAACCACGCCAGGGGCAACTGACAGGAAACACTCACTCAGATTTTTGCCACCCCATTCACTACCTACTTACTGAGAGATGAGATGTGCCATATGAGGTCTTGGGTTGATCTACTCTAAATTAGGATAACAAATCTTGACTTTGTGACCTTGACGCTATCGATCACACTACCTTTCCCCCAAATTTTTTTTAAAATTAGTACTATTATTCAGCAAAAAAGTAAACAAAAATCACAGGAAAGATATTTATGACATTATAAAAGATTTCAAGTAAATGCTGTTCTGATTTTTCAAGGAATATCAAAAAATTATCAAAGAATGAAAAAATAAATAAATAGCACAACTGTTTTTAACATAGATAACAATAAGAAATATTTCTTGAGCACTAAATCAGCATAATAGAATAGATTTCTGAAGGATCATGTGACACTGAAGACTGTAGAAATGTCTGCTGAAAATTCAGCTTTACCTTCACAGCAATACATTTTGAAACATATTCAACAGTTATTTTAAATTGTAATAAAATTTCACAATATTACCTTGATGTACATAAAAGACTTGTGCTAATAGAAAACATTAAAAAATATCTTACAGACTCCAAATTTTGTATGGTGTTGTGCGTAATCTTTTTTTTTTTTTATTCTTTAATTGTTTTTCTTCAATTCTTCTACAATGTTTCAAACACTTATTCATTACTAAATGTACAGAAACAACAGCAGAGGACTCAAAGACTTTAAGAAAGACTTTAAGAAATCCATCTAGTCACCCCACAATGACCTTTAAATGTCACATTGTAAATTTCACATTGCGTTGAGATCCCCTTATGAACACCACAGGGGGCTGTTTCCTAATAGCAGGGACAGATGTTATCCTGTAAAACACGATTAGTCAGACAAACCATGCAACACATTTCTGAGAACACTATGGAAACATTTTAAGGTAGAAAGTACAACCAAACTCTTATTCATTCATCAAAACCAGTTTCAAACGTTCCACGATGTGCCTTGACAGAGATGTAAGGTATATTTAAAAATAAAATTGCATCATATAAAGCACATTTGAAGCAAAACATATTTTTTTTTATATGAAAAATGTAAATAAAGCAATGTTTTGCCTAAGTTTCAATTCTATAAATTTTTGACAGTCCAACCTTTAATTACATAATTAGACATTTATTTAACCCTCTGCAGGGGGCTGTTTCCTAATAGCAGGGACAGATGTTATCCTGTAAAACACGATTAGTCAGACAAACCATGCAACACATTTCTGAGAACACTATGGAAACATTTTAAGGTAGAAAGTACAACCAAACTCTTATTCATTCATCAAAACCAGTTTCAAACGTTCCACGATGTGCCTTGACAGAGATGTAAGGTATATTTAAAAATAAAATTGCATCATATAAAGCACATTTGAAGCAAAACATATTTTTTTTTATATGAAAAATGTAAATAAAGCAATGTTTTGCCTAAGTTTCAATTCTATAAATTTTTGACAGTCCAACCTTTAATTACATAATTAGACATTTATTTAACCCTCTGGTGCTCCTCATTTGGGAGTCACACTTGTGATCTTCACGGTCAAAAATGACAAGATACCTGAAATTTTACTTTTTTTCGACCCAGTAAAATCAAAGTAATATATTTTTGTTCAATCATATTTTTTTTCTTTTTTTGTATATTGAGATCATTTCATGGCACTAATTAATATTTATGCAATAATTATGATGAATTTCTGCCCATTGAAAATAAAAAAATAAAAAATATATATATATTTTTATATTACTTTTCAATGAATGCAGTATTTCATGTTAAAATAGAGTCAATGCCTTTAAAAACCCATGTTTGAAGCCAGATTAGTGCTATCTTCTTGGTAAAATAAGAAAAAAAATTCCATGGTTTAGCCCATAGATTCTTATATAGCTCTATATAAAAGAGCTATAAATTCTCTTTTTTTTTTAGACATAAATACTTTTTGTATTAAGTTGTGGGTTTGGATATATATTTAGACATTCTCAAAGACAACTTTTTGTAAAGGTTTAGATTATTATTTTTTTTTTTCTTTTAAATATTGATTTGAAGCGTCAGTTTTTGAATGATTACTACAGCCAAACCTGAACACAGAGAAAGCATTTTGTTACACAAAACATTAAAATTCTATAAAAATATAACAAAAATGAACAGAAATGTTTTATAAGAGCTTATTCCATGGTCTGTCTGAATACTCAATTCTGATTGGTTGGCAGGTATGCATTAAAACCGTTCAATGCACAGGTAGTTCCAAGTCAGTTTAATCACCATTCTATATTATTGTGCGCTGCTTTAATTGATGCACACAAACACACACATCACTCATAAATACAGTGAGAGGGAGAGAGGTCGGAGATCGCAGATTGCGCTACACACACAAAAAAACTTATTGTCGGTGCTGCCCCGCGACTTTTATTAATAAAATAGCATAGATACTAGATCACTACATTATCTTCTTCCTCAGCAACGAGGTAAAATCAAAGTAACTAAACAGCTTCATTGTTTGTAGAGAGAGACGCACAGACACAGGTAACTCACACACACAACTGTCATCTCTCTCTCTCGATCGATAATTAATTCAAATAAATGCTATAATTCATTCCACGCCCCCTGGATCTTGTGTTCTGTAGTGAGGGGCTACTGAAATATTGCGCTGCTAACATCATAAACAGCTTTAAGTTGTCAATGCTGGCAAATGACCATGGAACAACGGCTAGCTGTTGATTATCCCTTACTTAATCCTTCTGGGTTTGATTTTACTGCATTGTAGTTGAATTATTGATTTTATTTTACATAGTTGCAGTGTTACAATCACACCAGTTCATAGGTGTGTGTGTGTGTGTGTGTGTGTGTATAAGTGTGTGAGTGCGCATGTGTGTGTGAATGGATGTGTTGGTTTTGCACTCTTGATGTTTTAGAGTTTCACCCTGTCATTGTTGTGTACTTTTTTCTGCATTGTGTCAGATTTGTAGATTGTACAGTTTCATACCATTCCGATAAAGCTGTGATTTAAAAAAATTCAAAACAGACATTTTTTTTTGGTCAAAAGTGACAGAAGAGCACCAGAGGATTAAAGTACCAGACTGTAGCAAAAGCGAAAAATAAAAGCATTCTGTAAAAAAAAAAAAATATTTTTTACACAAAATCTGTAAGCATACCCCACGTGCAGTTTTGCCTCACTGACACCAAATACTTTCCCTCTTTACACACCAACTTGAAAAGCCTTCAGACTTTAGCACTGTACACTGGCACTATGAATAAATCCATGTATAAATTAATCTCAAAGTGTTTAAACAATTAAACCAAGAGAGACCTGTCAATACCCTAGAGTTTGAAAGTGTGTGCGCAATAATGTGCTTGTGTGTTCATCCATTCATCCTTGAGGAAACACTGAATGAACAGAAGCTGTTGAATATGAGTGATGGAAAGCTTTAGATAGACTGCAGCTCATCACTTGCGCGCACACACACACACACACACACACACTGTGTGCCAATCACATTGACAGAGCTGTTTCCTCCCAACTGCTGGAAATGTCACAGGTCTCCTTTCTCTTCACACACATTTCGATCGTCTGCAGTCAAAGCCGTAAGGGCAGCAAACAGAGCCATGCATTATGCATGTGTGCATAAACAGAGAGCTCACTGGATATTGACATGTATCGGAAACCCAAAATGAATACAAACCTCAATAAAAGAAACCAAAACCAATGGAACTCATCACAAAGGAGATTTCTTTTCTTTTTTTCTTTACTGTCCTGTGAGGACCCTTTTTACATTTGCTTTCATCTTGAGCCATGAAAAACAGGCATGTTAAAGTTATATTCGAGGTCTCTGGCCCAGACTGATTTCTCTGATCAAGAAAACAGCATTCCCTTTCAATCGGTTCAATCAGTCACTCTCGACGTCACGTCGGTGACCGACGAATTGGAATCTCACTTAGAGAGACCAATCCACTTGAAGTGTAAACTAAACGAGCCAATGCACATTGGCATGCGATGATTGCATTCAGCTGCCGCTGATCACAGCATGAACATAAAAAGGCAGCCGGTGCAACGCATACCATCTTTTCGCTTCGGAGCCGAGCGATAACATCGTTCTACTCCTACCAATATCTTCGTTTGTGACGATGAGTTCAACGCGCTCTAGGGAGATTTTTGTGTTGGCGGACGGCGCTTCAGCGGTGGTCGTTCCTGTGTCGAGTGGGTTGCGCACTTCAGGCTGCACTACCCCCTGTCGTGCTGCAAGCGGCCAATACATATTCAAAACGTAATAATCACTTTAATCTAGCTTGCGCCAACAGTTGTACATGGAAGCAGCTCCGGGAGGATGACGTAAGATGTCGGCGTTGCGTCACAGACACCTAGGATGCCTTGAGGGTGAGTAATTCATGGGCTAATTTTAATTTTGGGGTGAACTAACCCTTTAAACATGCTGAGGTGGCATTCGTGGATGAGTCATGTTTCCGAGGGGGCGGACCCAGAGAGAGAGGGAACTGCTCTTTGGCGGATGGTAAATCTTCGTGTCTTGAACCGGGCCCTTCACCGGTTACCGTTCAAGATGTTGACGCAGAAAGACGATCGACCTGAAGAATGCCCCCAACTGCACTGGCATATCAATTGCCTAGAATTGTTTAACGGTGCGCCTTACCTTGAACCGTCTCAAAGGGCGCTTACGAGGCAAGCACGTGCTGGTCCGAACGGACAAC